TCAAATCAAGATCTTCTTATCTTGACTTCTCTGATGCAAATCAAGATCACCTTATCTTGACTGCTATGATGCCCAATTCAAATCAGGATCACCTTACCCTGACTTAGTCACTGAATGATTCAGAAAGTTATTCAGCAACACGAGAACAAGAGATTAAAGAACAACCTTTCTTTATTGATTTAGAAACTTCACAAAACTAAATCTCTCTCTTTTGTCCTCTCTGAGGTCTTATGGAACAATTATCCATAACCTCTCTTATATAGAACTTATCTACCCCTAAGTCTATATGAGTGTCTTTCTCTAGACTCCCATGAGATCTGTCTCGACTCCTCTTGAGTCTTGACTCTCATCTTCTGGTGTTGGAGCTCCTCTGGTAGCAGAGCTCCCCCAACTGTTCCGAACTCACCCCGAGCTATTCGAGCTCCCCAGGGCTATTCGAGCTCCCCGAGCTACACCAAGCTCCCCGAGCTTCTTAAGCTTTCTCTCAATCTCTATCTATTCTCCTTCACGAGCTCCCCCTTTGAGCTACTCGAGCTCTCCTCTGAGCTACACGAGCTCCCCACTGAGTTGTTCTTCTTGTTCTTCATAAGGCTCTTATTTATACTACAACCAAGCTTCTCCTAATCCCATTATGATAAGGAAATCTTCCAAACTTTATCCAACTTGACATTATTTGTATTTCCTTTCTTCTTTTTCCTTTCTTCTTTTTCTTTTCTAGGATATTCTAGAAAGAGAATACTTGCTCCTCAAGTAAGTTGGAATTATCCAACATTCTCCCCCTTAATTCCAACTTGAATTCCGGGAGGCTTGATCTCTTCATCTCCGATTAGATTCCTCACTCTTTGAACTTTATTCTCGCCAATGCCTTAGTAAGTGTGTCTGCCTTCTGTTCCACACCTAGAACATTTTCAACTTCAATCTTTGTTGAGATATGATCTCTTGCTCCTCCTCAGCTTTTGAGATCTTCAAATTTGACTCCATCTTAGTATCCACAAGTATTCCTTGAGCATATCCCTCTTGTTCTGCTCCTTGAATGACTTCGTGTACTACTTCCAGTATTACTTCAACGACAACTATTCCTTGAGCATATACCTCTTGTTCTGCTCCTTGAATGACTTTCTGTAATACTTCCTGTACTACTTCAACGACAAGTATTCCTTGAGCATGTACCTCTTGTTCTGCTCCTTGAATAACTTCCTGTAGTACTCTCTGTACTACTTCAACGACTAGTACAGAATACCCAAATACCATGACCATTACCTTCCTCGTAAGTGGATCATAGATTCTGTGTTTTTTAGAACCCAGCTTGGTTCCAAGATTGATCACACTTCTTGACTCCACATCTACCTTCTTTAGATGCAGTCCCGTGATCACACTTCTTGACTCAACATCTAACTTCTTTAGATATAGTCATGTGATCTCTGAATGACGTACGACTCCTCCCATTTATTATTCTGAATCTTGCCTAGAGACTCCATTCTCTTTGTGTAATCGATTTAACTCCATAAACTCTCCTCCTCTATCAGTGCGAAAGGTTTTGATAGACAAGCGGACTTGCTTCTCTACAAACTCTTTTAAACCTTTTGTACCGATCGAAAACTTCAATCGATATGTCAACAATGAACCACCTTTTCTTGTTGATTGATCCGATCTCCTCTTCACATGCTTTCCTTCATTGAAGCATGTCTTTTGTCTCTTTACAACATCTTGGCTCGTCTCTCACTTTCATCATAAGTTTTCTAGAACAATCTGGAAACTGTTTCATACTGCAGAACATAGTCTTCAAGGTACAGCGGCTGATTCACTAGTCGACCTGAACCTCTCAACTTTGGCACTCCTTGAACTACTTCACCAACCTCATCCTTGCGGTTTTCTTGCGTGATATCATCCATGACATCATCTTCTTCATGTCCTTCTCCAGCATCTTCTCCGTGAATTAGCTCCAAAACTTATATGCCCTAACCGAGCATGCAATGTCCTTGTAGATTCATTAGCAATTCATTCAGTCAGTCCTTCAGCGAGTCCTTCAACGACTCTTTCAGCAAGTCTTTCAGCACGTCCCTTAGCAAGTCCCTCAGCAAGTCTTTCAGCTTGCAGAAATGTTGGCTTGCTTATCTCCAAACAACTTGATGCTGACCAGCCTTGTCGCATCACTTTGGTTGTGATCACCGGTTTCTCCTCCTTGAGATTACAAGGTGGACCTTCCTTGCCACATGCCTCTGCCGGAACTGTCACCTCCAAAGCTTCCTCTACCATAACCAACTTAGTTATAGCTTTCTCTGTTATAACTTCTTCTTGTTATAACCGCCTCTGTTTCCTTCTCGAAACTTCCTGTAGCCTCCATGCTTAGGGTTTGAGGTCCTTGACCTTCACTTTGGGTTTCTTACCCAACACGTTCTTCATATTCCAGTAACCTCCCAACAATGTCTTCAAACCCCATCTGCTTTAGGTCAAGAACTTGCTCCAGGGATGCTAATATATAAATGAACTTGGTTCGTGGTTGTGGATTCTTACCTACCATACTTGCTTACGAGACACATACCACCGGTCTTGTCCAGAGTCTTCAAACTAAGCTCTGGCATACCACAGATCTTGTACAGAGTCTTCAAACTAAGCTCTGACCTTGTACATAGTCTTTGAACTAAACTCTGAGATACCACATGCCTCGTCCAGTGTCTTCAAACCAGAAGCTCTTATACCAATTCAAATCAAGATCTTCTTATCTTGACTTCTCTGATGCAAATCAAGATCACCTTATCTTGACTGCTCTGATACCAATTCAAATCAAGATCTTCTTATCTTGACTTGTCTTATGCAAATCAAGATCACCTTATCTTGACTGCTATGATGCCTAATTCGAATCAGGATCACCTTACCGTGACTTAATCACTAAATGATTCAGAAACACGAGAACAAGAGATTAAAGAACAACCTTTCTTTATTGATTTAGAAAATTCACAAAACTAAATCTCTCTCTTTTGTTCTCTCTGAGGTCTTATGGAACAACTATCCATAGCCTCTCTTATGTAGAACTTATCTACCCCTAAGTCTATATGAGTCTCTTTCTCTAGACTCCCATGAGATCTGTCTCGACTCCTCTTGAGTCTCGACTCTCATCTTCTGGTGCTGGAGCTCCTCTGGTAGCAGAGCTCCCCCGTACTGTTCTGAACTCACCCCGAGCTATTCGAGCTCCCCTTGGCTATTCGAGCTCCCCGAGCTACACCGAGCTCCCCGAGCTTCTTAAGCTTTCTCTCAAGCTCTATCTCTTCTCCTTCACGAGCTCCCCCTTTGGGCTACTCGAGCTCTTCTCTGAGCTACACGAGCTCTCTGCTGGGCTGTTCTTCTTGTTCTTCATAAGGCTCTTATTTATACTACAACCAAGCTTCTCCTAATTCTATTATGATAAGGAAATCTTCCAAACTTTATCCAACTTGACATTATTTGTATTTCCTTTCTTGAATTTCCTTTCTTCTTTTTCTTTTCTAGTATCTTCTAGAAAGAGATTACTTGCTCCTCAAGTAAGTTGGAGTTATCCAACACGGTTGAATCTTGTAGATATACAACTTTCTTTTTTTTGACCTAGAACAAAGAAAAGTTGAATATACTATATGTGATGATTAGCTATGTTTTACATATTTATACCATAATTTGCATTCTAGCACAATCAAATGCATTGATATAATAAAAAAGCTAATCTGAAATTCTGAGGCACATAAGTCAGAGAGATAAATACTAAACCCAAATGCTTTAAATGAAAAAGTTACCTTCTCAAGGAACACAATGCTTTGCAGTTTTTGTTTATAAAGGTTGAATCAATATGGCCTTCTCTTTTGCCATCATGCCATACTACCAAACGTTGTGTTTCTTTTGCTGGCTCCCTCTGCAATATTAGGACATAGTCCAGTGCATAATATAACCTGCACAAATTGGAAACTGAACTCAGGTATTATCCATAAAACTTGATAATATTAGAGCAAGGTTCTCTTCTATTATGGAAACAAGTTTTACGTCAATCTTCTTGCAGAATACAATCATGAAGTTTACCAGACTTGAAAATACAAAAACCAATTTATTTTGCCATTTTGCTTTTTAGATAATGGCATTGAACTTCTATTGCAACTGTGGAAGTCGGATTCACACACTCAAGTATTTTTATTAAGTGGGAAGATTATTCTTGAGGACAAAAAGTGAAGTGAAAACTATGTGTTATTATGTGAGTTGCTATAATATTTCTTGCTAGAAAGGAATTATCCCTTTACATGGCCCTTGCCCCTTATACTTATACTTACAAACGACATTTAATTCCTAATTAAATACATTTATTCCCTCTTAAATGTGTCTGTTTTAGTCTTTGAGTTTTAATGCTCAACCTTCAAATTTGAATTGATTCCGATCTTCGTGGGCTTCGCCTTTAAGCCCGTAAATCCGAAATGGACCATCCTTGGACTTCGAATCTGTTTCCACCTCGCGGCACGGCCACTTCGCCCGTATCCTTCCTCCCGACTTAGAGATCTCATGGGCCTTATTTCTTGTGGGCCTCCCTTCTGCCTACGTGGCAATCTTTGGTTGGTCCCAGACTATTGGTGCGGGATCCGACACCAACAATTAGCCCCCCAAGTCTTTCGAAGTGCCATTCCAATTCGGAGGACTTTTATGCTTTAATGACCAAAGATTGCGCTTGAGAATCCTCTGATTTCCCGCCAAGATCCCATTAGTCCTTTAATCTCGGCGCTATCCATATTTACCCGCGTGACATCTGTCACCATCATGACCGTATCTTAATTATTTACTATTAAAGCGGGAAAAACCTTTCCACTTCTCCCACGACTCCCAAGGCGGTTCCATTATTACCACTTAGCTTGCATGAGGTAACCTTCTTTTCATTCTTACTTTTATTCTTGTCCTTTCAGATTAAAAGTTCTCTCTGCTTTTCTCGTCAAGTTTCTTTGCTTCTTTCGCCAAATTTCTTTTCCTGAACCTTGAATTTTCCATCTTTCTCGATGAATTCTGACTCCGATAGACCCGAGTCTCCGTCTTACGACGAAAGACGTTCTAGCATCGATGAGTGCACCCGCCCTAATGATATCACCGGTCCTCACTACAGATCCACCTGTACTATTCAATCCCTCCAGCGATTGAAAGAGCTTTGCCGAATTCCGCCTGAAATAATGGCGGAATCGAAGTTGGCTGATCCTACGGAGTCCCCGGAGGACCATCGTGACGGCTACTTTTGCGTATACAAGATCTACTTCAAGGGTTGCGGGTTAACCTTCCCTCTTCCTGAAGCCTTAGTCCGATACTTAGCAGCTCTTGAGATTGCTCTACCTCAATTAACCCCCAATCTTCTTCGAACCATCCTCGGGATTATAACCGTTGCGGCGGAGGCCAGATATATTATCGGAGTCCCCGAGCCGAACGAGCTTCTAAGCGTTAGAAGTTCGTCGAAGAAAACAGGGTACTTCTCAGCGTATCCGAACGTCAGTAGAAACATCATCTCGCACCTTCCGAACAAGGATGAAAACTGGCACCATCCTTGGTTCCTGATTAAGAAAACTCCTGCTTCGATTGGAAATCTTTCCGATGTACTCCCATTGAAGTGGTCTGCAAAGTCTGGTAGAAATTAGGTCATATATACCTTTTCCGGTTGTTTTATTTATCTTTACTGACTAAACTCGTTGTTTCACTTTGCAACTTTCATCGCTCCGACTCTCCCATCTGAAGAATTCATCGGATTCTTCAAAATAATCCTCGAAGGGGAGACCTTTTGGAACTCTTTCACCCTCGATCGGTTCATAGAAGCCAATCGAAAATTCAGGATGAGCCCTCCCAATCAACTTCATCGTCTTCCGCCTCCTCCCTCAACTCAAGGAATGTCAGCTTGGGCCCTCACTGCCCAGCGCAAGATGCTCTCCAAGCCGATAACTAAGGCTTGCGAGGAGAACAAAGCGTTCCTTGCGACCGCCATTGACAAAAAAGACTACAGTAGGACCTTGCTGGTTGACGATGGTAGCGCCGAAGGAACCAGATCCGTTACTGCTTTCAGATTGACACCTCATCGTGAACGTCGTGATGATCGTTCTCCTCGGAGGGCCCGATCTCCTCATCGTGACTCTCCTCGTCCCCCCCTGTGGATGTAGGATTCACACTCGATTGTCTTTAAGTATATTTATGGAGAAAAACTCTAAAATCAACAAATGAAAATATGGAATTGAAAAGGGAAATAACCAAGAAACTAAGTAAAGCGAATGAACTTTAGAAAGAATAAAATAGTAAAAAGCCTTGCAAAATTGTAAAAAAAAAAGTATGTTGTAGTGCTTGATCGTAAGAGGAAAAAGTTGTTCTCCTTCAAACACATGCGTTTGAGGTTTTTTTTATAGAGAAAACATGATCAATGCGGTCATTTACTGCTCATAATTGCATTGATCCGCATTAATCATGTAGGTTACAATTTGACAGAAACGGCTTGAATTTGAACTATCTTGGGCTTCGCGTGGATCTTCCGAACTCTTTCTTGTTGACTCCGAACTCCTGCGTCTTGACGCTACCGCGAACCTCGAACAATATTCTCCTCACTTCGGTCTTCCTTTATGCGAATTGTATGTTGAATAAGAGCGAACTCCATACTGGTAAAGATCGAGCTCTTTAATAAACTAAATCAAACTTCCGACAGATCGAGCTCGATTTTCGCAATGAAACATCTAGAAATCCAAGAGGATTATTATGTAATAATGACGTGGACAGATCCAAGTGGATCCTACCAAAGATGTGTGGGATCCGACCCCAACATTTAGTCCCCCAAGTCTTGCGAGCTGAGTGCTCGGCTTGGAAGACTTAAGTAAACTGTAATTAATGACTCGAGATCTTTAACATTCCAGAATTATTCCATGTTTTTCGCTATTACGCTGATCTCGGATAATCAGATGATTTGATTTCCCTGACAACCGTCATCATTAATTTCTTAATTTTATATTAATACCACGGGGAAAACCGTCCCACTTCCCAATATTCTCGAGGCGGTTTTTCGCTAAATAAGGTTAAATGGAACGACAGCTTTTACAGCAGCGTACATTTACCCCTAAAGCTTTTACCGAACCAGAAAGAGAGAAACCTCTTAGTAAAAGATGTCTTTCCCAGCCGTCTATGTTTCGGAAAACGAAGATGACAGTCAAGGAATCCCTGTTCCCAGAGGGGATGAAGTCTTCACCCAAAGGGGAGACAAATTTGGTCCGCATTTCAGGTCTCAGTCGACCTCTGCTTCTCTTGGCGCTCTTCGCCGCCTTTGTAACATCCCCCAGGAAATTGAATTCTCTCTTCCTAGACCCAACGAGTCTCCAGAAGTGGTGCGAGAGGGTTACTGTTGTGCGTACGAAGTATATTTCAAAGGTTGTGGTTTGTTTTTTCCCGTTCCGGAAGTTCTTCTTTTATACCTCCTCCACCTAGGGATTGCCTTTCCCCAAATGGCTCCCAACTTTCTTCGATATGTTCTGAGTACCCTGACCGTTTCGGCAGACGCAGGGTTTTCCCTCTGCACCAGCGAACTCTTAGGGCTATTTCGAGCCCGTGAATCCGCAGCAGTGGGTATTTTTTCTATAAACCCTATCCTTGACCGTAACTTGATCGACGGAATGCCCTCGAATGATGGGCCTTGGAGGAAATACTGGTTCTTTTTCCGAGTCAATCCTTATTCCGTTTAAGTTCTTTCCGGTCTTCTTCTCGCCAATTGGTCGGCTAAACTTGGTTAAAAATCCAACCTTTACTACTTTCTACTGTATTAAGCAAAAGAGATGGAATTCTTAACCCAATACTTTGTTTCAGGGAACCAGACGATCCCCCACCCAACCGTTGACTTCTTGTCCTTCTTTCGAATCGTTTCCGAGGGTGAAACAAATTGGAATTCCCTCACCCTTCAACGCATTCATAAAGCGGGGCTTGCCATTAAAGACGGTCAGACTCACCCCCTCAATCCTCCTCCAGAGGAGAATGACGTCTCGAGCCTGAATGCCCGAGATAAAAGAAAGATGCATGTTGAAATCAAGGCTCTTAAGGATCAGCTATCCGAAATCGGGAGAAAGAAACGGATAGCTGCAATCTCCATGGTTGGTAACTTCCACAGGAAGACCCTCTTAGTTGATGATGGTTCATTAGAAGCAGCCTTGTCAGCCGCGGTGGATACTCATGGAGCCGAGATCCTTAACGAACCTCCAGTTGCCACCGCAATTTGCCCTTCCGAACCAGGGTGTGAGGGAGAAATAACCTCCTCTCCTTGTACAAAGAGGAAGGCTCCAGATTCTGATAATCTATCAAGCGAGTGACTTAAAACCGTGAGATTAAGTTCTCCGCCACGAGTCTCTAGCCCTCTACGTTCTGTTTCTCCCTCTTCAGAACCTTTAAACTCCGAGCTCCCTCTTCCGGGAGACAGAGTTATTTCAGAGGAAACAGATGAGTCGAGACCTGAGGCTCCTCTATCTCAAGGACTGAGTGTTAGGACTCAAAATCCTTTACCCGCTTCGATTTCAGGTAAGTTTTTACTTAGAAAACGAACATTAGCAAAACTTGCCACGGATTGCATCTATTAATATGCTATTCTCCTCTGCTTCGTAGGTGGAGAAGAGATTGGAGACATCTTCCGAAGTTTCCAAACCAGGGAAGGGGCATCCCTTCCTCCTTTTTCGGTTTGGAGGCCGGAAATCCGTCAGATGTTTACCAATCGAGCTCGCTACCTATCCCAGGTTCAGATCTTTTAGATTATGACAATCTCCCTTCCTTAGGTAAAAGCTTTTTGTCTAAACAACATGTTTTTTTTACTCCGAAGGCGTTTATGGAGACTAATGGAATGATCTTCCATTATGAGAACCTTCTTCATCAAGCGAAGAGAGAGACCGCAAAGGCTAAGAAGGAGGTTGATGATCTCAGATTAGCCAAGCAATCCGAGCGACTTGAGCGGGAAAAAGCACTCGAGTTATCTTTTGAAAATATGAAGAAAACTCTAGCAGCTAACGAGCAACGCATCAGAATTGCGAATGCTGAAAGATATTCTGCGAGGTCTAATGCTTCTCGCTTGGAGGCTGAGCTAGAGGAGAATACGGCTTTGTTCGAAGAAGCAAATCAAGAGATCGAGCTTTTAACTAGGAACAGGGCTCGCGATATCGCTGAAGCCGAACATAATGCTCGAGAAGAGATGAGGGGATTCGGTAGGCAACTTATTCAATCTGTTACGAAGTTCATCAAGGACGAAGAGGTCTGGACTAAACTTCTAACAGATCGAGCCGAACTGAAGAGCAATCTAGACCTGATTAAGGAACTAGAGGCTGGGAGAGTTTCGTTCGAGAACGAGAGGAGCGAAGTTGCTGCCGAACTCGCTATGGTTGAGTCCGAGTTATCCTCGGCTTCCCGTCCTGCTCTCGATCTGAAACAATTTTCTTTGGTATTTGGAGACTCCCCATCTCAATTCGAGGTAGGTGAAGGTTCTCGGCCACATGAGGGTTCTCCAGAGGTGTAGGAACGCTCTTTTTTTTTTTTTTAAAGAATTGTTTTGTTGAGTCCATGAGGATTATTCCGTTTGACGGAAATATTTTGTTCAATCAGTGTGACCGAACACAACCATGCACATGCTCTGGCATATGATTTTTTTTATAGCAAAAACGTTTGGACAAGATTCTAGGTTTGCAAGTCCTAGTCCGCCAAAGAGGTTTTATGAATTGTGAGAGATGAGCTGATCAGGCTCACTTGCCTTTTTTAAAGAAAAAATCTTAATAACTATTTTTCCTCGGTCTCTCGAAGGCGAGGATGGGATTTATATCGAGGGATAAGATTTATAATTCATGAGAATTTTGTCATAAATACGACCAGGCAATGATTTCGATCGTTGCCCATGATGGCTTCGGAATCGTTGGGCCGTGTTTTAATTGGATCTGAAGTCTGCTCCAATAGAAACTTAACAAGCTTCTTTTTTTGCTTAACGAAAGCTAACTCCTCGAATCTCAATATCGGGATTTGTAGAATATGAACACCATAATTTCGATTTTTTTTTTTTTTTTTTTTTGTTTTGTAATCCGTTAAATTCAATAAAATTCTCGAACTCAAAAGGAACTCAAAACTCTGTTCTCTAGTATTATTCAAAAAAGAAAGGTGCATTATATGGAAGAAAATTCATGCTATCATACAAGTTCAGATAGGATAGAAATACAAATTACGTCAGATACTCGAAGAATCCAAACACTTCAAATAAAAAGTCGAATAAAAAGAAAGAAAAGATAAAGAAAAAGAAGCTATGAAGCAAATATCGTATATAACTTCTCGTTTCCTAAAGATAGGAGTTTCGAGGATTTCCCGTGTTGGCGCTTTTCTGTGTCATGTGGACCTTTCAAACATCCTCAACGTGGACCTTCATAATACCAGTTCGGCCGGCAGTATCGGTAAGGGCATTTGTAGGCACATTTCATTGAACAAGAGTATAGAACAGCTGAATTTGAAGCAGTAGTAGCCTTAAGAAAGGAAGAGAAAATGCAACGCTTTTCACAAACTACACAAAAAGGTCTAGTCATACCAACATTGGCAACTAGTTCAGCTTTGCCGTATTTTTTCCCTGGCTTGAAGTAATACATGTCTCCAAGTACACAGTTGATATGGAGAGTGTTCCCACAATCATTACATCCATAATACCATACACTCGGATCTGTTTTTCCCTCACAAATATCACACCACAATTGACCACTGGAGTTTCCAGCTCCATGATGCAACAATAAAAAATGACCGTCGCATCTGTGTTTTACTTTTCTTGGTAGAGTGGCACACTCCATGCCTAAAGAAAACTCACAAACAATACAATTTAAGACATACTCTGAAACTTTACCACATGCTCCACAAGTCTTATGTTCTGCCGAGGTACGATATAAGGGATGCGGGTGCAGTTCATGATGAAAAGGCTCGGAAATGGAACCACACCGCATATTGTTGGGGTCGGATTCCACCCTTTGGCGCCAAGCCAGACTTAGAACACTTCGGGAGTCTTTCAGTGATCACCTCGGGGAATCGCATCATTCACCTCGGGATATCCATCTAATCGATTTAGTGTACCCGAGCCCATCGCCTCGGGGATACTTTAACAAGACGTTTCAAGCACCCGAGCCCATCGCCTCGGGGATACCCTAAACAAGATGTCTCAAGCACCCGAGCCCAATTGCCTTGGGGGTACCCGAGCCTGGTCGCCTCGGGAGTTTCTGAGCCCATCGCCTCAGGGACACCCGAAGAAGCCATCCTAGAGTGCCCGAGCCAGTCCTTCCTGTGTACCCGAGCCGATTGCACAAGTTTCTCCGAGGTGAAGTCTTCATCATCGCCCGAGGTAAAGACTTAGTAAATATTCGCTTTCAAAGTACCATTTCCAAGCAGGGTACCATTTCCGAACAAGAAGGATCATTTCCGATATACCCGGAAATGATAAGAGAGAATCTAGAAGGATCGATTCAAATCAGGAAATCTCCCAAAGATTCCGAAAAATAAGGAAACTATCCTAATCCGCGATATTCTGAGCCGACTTCAAGATAAATGGAAATCTTCCGAGAATATCGCTGGAGAGGCGGTTTATCACCTATATATAAAGAGACTCAAGGCTCAACCAAAGGACAAGGAATATCGCTCTAGAATTTACACTACGCAAAGCTCTCACAGCACAAACATCTTTTTCCTTTTACGATCAAACTCTTGTACGATCAAAGTCATCTTTTTCTTAATAATATCAAGAACACCATCTTTGGTTACAATCGTTTCTGTTGTTCTTTGAGAATTCACGATTATCGTATCCCTAAAATAAAACCCTAGACAAATCTTGATTGTGTTAGTTTCGACTTCCACAGTTTGGCGCCGTCTGTGGGGATTACTTTAGAATTCTCTTACCCTAAGAACGCAAGACTCGAATACCAGAGAGGATGGTGAACGAAGACGATCGTCAGACACCACCAGCCAGAGGAGGGAACCCAAACCCTCCTAACCCTCCTTCTAGCGCCACTCAAGCCGATTCGACGATCATAGCAACTCTAGCCGAACTAAAAGATCTAATGGTTAAATTCCAGAAGAAAGCTGACGACCAAGAGAAAGCTAACAAAACCTTGGCGCAGCGAGTCGACGAAATCGCAACACGTGGGCAACAAAAAACCACACGTTTCCAGACTCGGCCGCCACGAGCTCGGAGGGACTTGCCTGGCATCAACCCAACGAGACTCACGTTCGCGACACCAACCGGAAACACCAGAGTTGCAGTCCGAGCCGACCCTGCCAGACGCGAGAACCAAGATGATCCCACCAAGCCAGACGCAGTGGACTTGACGGACGAGCCAGATGATCTGCAAGATGAGCGTACCCGAACCGGAGCTAACTCCGCCGAGCGAACAGATCTCACTGACGATGAAGAAACTGAGGAGAACATAAGGTGGGCCGAAGAATCCGAAAGAGAAGACGAGCTAAGCAAGATCCGAGCCTCCCTAGCCAAGGCGGAAGCCGATATGAAGCTCGTCAAAACCCAGATACATAGCGTCTCATCCTCCGCGCCGAACATCGACCGAATTTTGGAAGAATCTCGGAATACGCCTTTCACCAAAAGAATTTCTGAGACGACGATGTCCAACCTAGGAAAGTTCAAAATCGACTCCTACAACGGATCAACCGACCCGAAGTGCCACATTAAATCGTTCGTGATATCTGTGGCCCGAGCCAGGTTCAAGCCCGGGGAAAAGGATGCGGGTCTGTGCTTACTGTTCGTGGAACACCTCAAAGGACCTGCATTAGAGTGGTTTTCAAGATTGGAACGAAACTCGATTGATAGTTTCGACGAGCTGTCGACATTGTTCCTCAAACAATACTCCGTGCTCATCGACCCCGGAACTTCCGACGCGGATCTGTGGTCTTTGTCCCAACAGCCCACCGAGCCATTGAGGGATTTCCTCAAGACCTTCAAATCGACGCTAGCCAAGGTCGAAGGAATTACAGATGTAGCAGCTCTCTCGGCTTTGAAGAAAGCTCTCTGGTACAAGTCAGAATTTAGGAAAGAGTTGAACCTGTCTAAACCAACAACAATTCGCGATGCGCTGCATCGAGCCTCGGATTTCGTCGCCCACGAAGAAGAAATGGCGCTACTAGCAAAGAGGCACGAGCCAACAAAACAGGCGCCCCGAACCGAGAAAACCGAGAAAGCCCAAGCGACGCCTCCGGTCCAGAAAAAGACACGTGAGAGCAGTACGTATACGCATCACGAAGGGCGTAATTTCTCAGGATACCATAGCTACCAGATTGACACGCCCCGAGGCCGTGGCCGCGGCAGAGGCCGAAGCCGTGGGCGAGGAAGAGAGTCCTTCACCTGGACAAGGGATCAGCCACCGAGCAATGATCAAGAATATTGCGAACACCACAAAATTTTCGGCCATCATACCTCGAGATGCCGAAGCCTCGGAGCCAAGTTAGCAACCAAATTCCTAGCTGGAGAGCTCGGGACAAACGTTACTCTTAAGGACCTCGAGCCAGAACCGGAGTCCGAGCAGACCAACCCAGGAAGAGACCCCGAACCAAGGAAGACCGGGATGGTACGCGGCAGAAGGTTCTTACCATAATGGGCGGATCGCCATACTGTCCTGACACCATAGCGGCAATCAAAGCTTATCAACGCCGAGCCGAGATGCCTAGCAACTGGACAAGACGCTTCGATCGACCTAACGACGTGATCACATTCGAAGAAAGCGAGACAAACGGGCTCGACATGCCTCATAACGATCCAATCGTTGTCACATTAGCGATAGGAGACCATGATATCTACCGAGTATTAATTGACACCGGCAGCACCATCGACGTAATCTTTCGCGAAACGCTCCGACAAATGAACATCGACATGTCACAGGTGATTCCGACCCCGAGGCCTGTCCTCGGATTTTCAGGGGAAACTTTGATGACGCTTGGAACCATCCAACTACCAGTCCGAGCTGGCGGGGTAACAAAGATAGTCAACTTCTCAGTCACCGATCGACCTACCATCTACAACGTTATAATGGGAACCCCGTGGTTAAATCTAATACGAGCTGTCGCATCAACATATCACCTGTATGTCAAATTCCCGACCCCTAATGGCGTGAAAACGATATGGGGCAGTCAGAAAAATTCTCGGATGTGTTTCATGGCAGCACACAAACTCCGAAACCCTATCACTGAAGCGAAGGCTGAAACCGATCACAAGAAATCAAAACTTGGCCGGAGCGAAGAGAAGGCTATATCTAAACAGTTATAGCAATTACAGATCGAGGAGGCGCGCGAGGAGAAGAAGCCTACCTCGGATCCTGTGATCTCCATTAGCCTCGACGACGAACGGCCCGAACGATGCGTGGAAATTGGCAGCGATTTAACGGAAGAAATCAAGACCGAGCTCATCTCTTTCCTCAAAGAGAACATCGATACCTTCGCCTGGTCGGCTGAAGATCTACCAGGGGTAAGCATCGACGTAATCTGCCACGAGCTGAATGTTGACCCATCTTTCAAGCCCATCAAGCAGAAGCGAAGAAAATTGGGTCGGGATCGCGCAGATGCAGTGAACGCCGAAGTAGAAACGCTCCTGAAGATCGGCTCGATCTCTGAAGCAAGATATCCGGACTGGTTAGCAAATCCTGTCATGGTTAAAATGAAGAAGGGAAATGGAGAATCTGCGTCGATTTCACCGATCTGAACAAAGCTTGCCCTAAAGACAGTTTTCCACTCCCACATATCGATCGTTTAGTGGAAGCAACCGCGGGAAATAAGTTGCTATCATTCATGGATGCTTTCGCAGGATATAATCAGATTCTCATGCATCCCGACGATCGCGAGAAGACAACATTCATCACACACCGAGGTATCTACTGTTACAAAGTCATGCCCTTCGGGCTCAAGAACGCTGGCGCAACGTATCAATGGCTCGTCAACAGGATGTTCTCCGAACAGCTCGGGAAGACGATGGAAGTTTATATCGACGACATGTTAGTCAAATCCCTTGAAGAAAGCGATCACATAGCCCATCTACGCGACTGTTTTCGCCAGCTCAACAAGCACAACATGAAGCTTAACCCGGCAAAATGTCGTTTCGCGGTAAAGTCTGGAGAATTCTTGGGATATCTCGTAACTCACCGAGGCATCGAGGCAAACCCAAAGCAAATCGATGCTCTACTAAACATGCCCTCACCACAGAACAAGCGCGAAGTCCAACGTCTCACCGGGAGAGTCGCAGCCTTGAACCGATTCATCTCGCGGTCCACTGACAAATGCCTTGCTTTCTACGATACTCTGCGCAGGAACAAGAAATTCGAATGGACCGATCGCTGCGAAGAAGCTTTCCAGGAACTGAAGAAGTATTTGGCTAATCCACCGGTGTTAGCAAAACCAGTCCCGGGCGAGCCATTATTCCTGTACATCGCAGTCTCTGATACGGCTATAAGTGGAGTCATAGTCAGGGAAGACAGAGGGGAGCAGAAGCTGATATTTTATGTCTCGCAAACTTTCACCGACGCGGAAACACGCTACCCGCAAACTGAAAAGCTCGCCCTCGCCGTAGTAATGTCAGCTCGGAAGCTACGGCCATATTTCCAGTCTCACTCAATTGTTGTCATGGCGCCCGTATCACTCCGAACCATCCTGCACAGTCCGAGCCGATCCGGACGCTTGGCCAAATGGGCAGTAGAACTCAGCGAGTATGACATCGAATACAGAAACAAAAAATGCGCGAAATCTCAAGTCCTGGCCGATTTCATCATCGAGCTGCCAACAGAGAACGTCCGAGAAGGGTCACCCAACGCTGTTTGGATCCTCCACGTCGTCGGCTCATCCTCAAAACAAGGTTCTGGCGTCGGAATCCGCCTCGCATCACCAGAGGGTGAAATCCTTGAACAATCCTTTCGGCTAAATTTCGACGCGACTAACAACGTGGCTGAGTACGAAGCGCTGATAGCAAGACTTAAGCTGGCTCGGGGACTTAAGATCAACAAGCTGCGAGCCTTTTGCGACTCCCAGCTCGTGGCTAATCAATTCAATGGGGAATACGCGGCTCGCGACGAACGAATGGAAGCGTATCTTACTCTCACGCAAGACTTGGCGAAACAGTTCGGAGAATTTGAGTTAACCAGAATCCCACGAGGTGAGAACACATCGGCCGATGCCTTAGCGGCTCTAGCTTCAACCTCCAACCCAAATCTGAAGAGGATCATACCGGTTGAGTTCATCGAAAAGCCGAGCATAGAAGATAATAGTAAGGATCAAGTTCTAACAGCTCGGGAGACAGAAGAACCGGAAGAAATGGACATCGAACAGCTAGACCAGCAAACTACGGACGCAACCGAGCCCGAATACGGAAGCGACGCCAAATGGATCGGAGCCATCCGAAGCTACATCGCCGATGGAGAAGTTCCTACTGAAAAGTGGGCAGCTCGGAAGCTTAAGGCCGAAGCGGCTCGGTATACTCTGATCGACGGAGAGCTCTTTAAATGGCGATTTTCTGGCCCCCTCCTTATCTGTGTCAAAGGAAATGAAGCTCGGAGAGTCATGGAAGAAGTACACGGCGGATCATGCGGAAACCATTCTGGCGGGAGAGCCCTGGCTATAAAGATCAAACGCCACGGATATTTTTGGCCGACGATGGTCAAAGACTGCGAGAAATTTTCTCAATGATGTGATAAATGCCAGAGGCACGCACCAACCATTCATCAACCCGCCGAGCTCCTCTCTTCTATAACTTCGCCTTATCCATTCATGCGATGGTCCATGGACATCATCGGACCTCTGCACAACTCCAAGCAGAAGAAACTCGTCCTCGTACTGACAGACTATTTCTCCAAATGGATCGAGGCGGACTCTTACGCCAGCATCAAAGATGCGCAGGTCGAGAACTTCGTCTGGAAGAACATCATATGCCGCCATGGGATACCTTACGAGATCGTTACAGATAACGGATCACAGTTTATTTCGTCTTGGTTCGAAGGATTCTGCGAGAAATGGGGAATTCGCCTCAGCAAGTCTACGCCTCGGTACCCTCAGGGAAACGGTCAAGCCGAAGCAGCCAACAAGACGATTCTCGACGGAATAAAAAAGCGTCTTGACGCGAAGAAAGGCCGCTGGGCGACGAATTGGAAGGAGTATTATGGTCGCACAGAACCACGCCGCGGCGGACCACGGGAGAAACACCTTTCGCCCTTGTCTACGGCACGGAATGTGTGATTCCCACCGAAGCCGAGATTCCGGGACTGAGAAGACGTTTTCTCCCCGAGCAGGAAAATTCCAACACTCAGATGATGCTGGACGAGCTGGACTTAATTGACGAGAGAAGAGATTCAGCTTTGATCCGTATGCAGAACTATCAGAATGCAACGGCTCAGTACTACAATTCTCACGTGAAGCATCGCCGCTTCCACGAAGGAGAGTTCGTACTGCGCAAAGTTTTCCAGAATACCGCCGAGCAGAACGCAGGTAAGCTCGGTACGAATTGGGAGGGACCTTACACGATCGCAAAGGTAATCCGTCCCGGCGTCTACGAACTCATCAACATGAACGGCAAAGCGGTACCTAGATCCTGGAACGTAATGCATCTAAGGAAATATTACCGCTAAAAGCCTAAGGTACGCATGTACTTGAACTACGGGGTGGCTTGATCCCTGAAAAGGGTACGTAGGCAGCTCGTCCTCGGACGAGTTCAGCTACCCCCCTAATTAAAAAAGGGGGGAGTGGGTCCGTATACTTATATACTCCCACTAAAATTTTCAAATTCTCTAAGTTTTTACCCTTCGGGTTATCAATCTTATCCACCTCGGAGATTTTAACGGTCATCTTATCGACCTATAAAGCTAAAAGTTCGTTCGGACGATGGCCACGTCCTCGGACAGAAAAAGCTCTTTTCACCGCCTCGGTTACAGCGCGCTATATAAACAGTCGAGACGATTCGGTCGGAGATATCCTGCCATAAAGAAATTGTCTTCAGAAAACCCAGTTGACTTCGACACTGGTACCCCAGTTCGCTTCTAAGCACTGGCTTCGACTATATCAGCTCGGGTCGCAACCGATAAAGATTAGTCCTACTTAACCAAAACCCAGTTATCCTAACACTGGTGCACGATTCATTTCACTTTCGGCTCAAAAGTTAAGACATTTGGATTTAACTTCTCAACGAGCAATTCTTAAACCCGGTTAACTTAACACCGGTGCATGATTCTTTTTGCTCTCGGCTCAAAAGATAAATCCAGATATTTGACATTAGTTTTGGATTCAGTTCGGAAAAATTTTTAAGAAAAATACTTGACATAATATTCAAGGGATAAAGCCGTCCAAGCATGTCTTACAAAAAAGAGAATAAAAAGACATCTCGGGATCAGATCGAGTCTTGGGTAACCGGCGAAACTTGAGCTACCTCGGTACCTCGGTTCGAACCAGACTGGTCGGCAACGCCTATCGCAGCCGCGGCACCTTCGATCGAACGGTTCCCAAAGCTATCGTCGACAGAGTCCGGGGAAACCGGAGGAAGCTTCAAGTCCTCTCGCAGCTCGGTCCCGAGACAGACGTACTCATCCTCGGCGTCCCCATACTCAGCCGTCCATTGAAGGACCTCGGCCTTCTCATCTTCTACCCTTTTCCCTTCCTCCGGCTCGGCTATCAGCTCGGCATTAGCCCGCTCTTGCACCAAGTACATGTAGCGCGTGGATACCTCCCCGAACTGGTCCATCTTCGCCTCGATAGCCCTGACCTTCTCGGCAAACTCTCTTTTGGCTGCCCTCCTTTCTCTGACAATCTCCTTCTCCCGGAGAGCCTTCTCCTCATTAAATAACCGATGGAGTCGTTCGACCTCGGCCTCAAGCTTTCTCTGAGTCCGCAGGCTATCCTCAGAAGCTTTCAATCGCTCCACCTTCTCGGCCTTGGCCAACGCCTCAGCTTCCTGTTTGGCCGCGATCGCCTCGGACAACCTAGCTTCGACCTTAGCTCGGGACGTCTCTGATCTCTCACGGGCCAGCTCGGACTTCCGAGCTCTAGAATCATAGGCCCGAACCATAGAATTCATCGAACGGAAGGCCTGAAATAGAACGAGAATCATTAGCAAGCAAATATGGAAACGATAGTAAAATAGGTCAAGAACAGATCGTTGATACCTTCAGGAATCCGGCAGCGGTTTCACGGTAGTTTTGAGCCTCCAACAAGGCATCGGGAGTAGACAGTGGCGGACCCGAGCAAGAAGCGACAAAGTTCGCCGAAGCAATCTTGTCCTTGTACACTGGAGTTTCGCTACGACTCCTTTTCTCCTTCCTAGAAACTCCCGAGCCATCACCTCGGGGTCTTTTTCCCCTAGTTTTGGATTTCGCCTCGGCGGCTGGAGCAGCAACGACCAGAATCCCTACCACCTCGGGGACGTCGGTCGTAGGGGAGATGTGCCCGGCCACCTCGGGAACGATCGAAACCATATCCCGAGCTTCATCAGTTGCCTCGGCACCAATAACGACCTCAGGGTTGGCCTCGGGAGGAGTAGGAGGTCTGAAGTTTGCCTCCAAAACGGCTTTTTCCTTAGCCGCCTTCTTTTCAGCAGCCTTCCTGGCTCTCAGAGATTGCGCAGCTCTTTGCATTTCAATGAGGTGATCTAGACGGTGGTCGGATGATTCTGAAGAAGACTGGCAGGGAGCTCCGTGCAACAAACGCAAGGCTCTCTCGATTCTTTCCTGGGAGAAGTGTTTTGTCCAATCGCACTTCCGAGCAATTAGTTCGTCGTGGAGATCTAGAAAACCTTCAGGAATGTCTTCGAGAAACGACGGGTTCCGATCTGCATGAACAAGAAAAACGGTCAGTAAAAAGGTTAAAGCAAAACAAGAGAGCAAATACGGCTTTGGGCGTAGTACCGATTTGTCTCCACTTTCCAACAACTTTCCCTAAGTAGTCCTCGTGGACGCTATACTCATTCAAGGCTACGGAGAAGAAATGGTCGGTGTATTTCTCATCCTTGCTCGGGAAACCACCGATAACCCTCCTATTTGGCCTCGGAGATATGTAAAATCTCTCAACAGGGCCCGGTATGCGCCGGATCTCTAGGAGATTCCTTAAGTGGCTCAGGTCGACAAGATTGACCGTCTCAATACTTCGGACTAAAATCCCCACTAGATGCCGCAAGCCTCGGGTCGTTATCTGGGATAAAGCAATCTTGTACGACCACAAAAACGCCAAAATCGGCCTCAGGATTGGAAGCCAAAGGTAGCAATGATAGAAGAACCCCTCGTAAAGGGTAAAAAACCCCTCGGGTGGATCATCGGCTCGCTCATTTGGAGTTGGAAGTCTCAGTTCAACCCCCTCGCTAAAACCAAATCGAGCCTTGAGATCCCGAAGGGAATCCTCCGTGCATAAAGTAGAACCCTGGGGATCAGGTTTCCTAGCTTTCTTGGCTCGTTTTCTCTTCTGTTGACCCTTGGCTGCTTGGACTTTAGCTTGGAGCAACCTAGCCGCCTCGTCAGAATCGTAGTGAACCTCCTCGGCCTTAATAGGAAGTAGAGGCGCCTCGGGGGCATTTCGCCAGCACGATACTTCAACTTCACCAGCTGCCGGTGGATGGATCCTCCTTCTACTCAAAATCGCCTCGAGATCATCAGGCATATCCTGATCCCGAGCCACATTTGCAATCGCGTCTTCCCGAACGATGAAACGGCTCGGGTCTTCTTCCCGTGAAGCCGACTCTGCATCACTACCATGGTACAACACGATCTGATGGTCCGTGGTATCCGCCTCGGGGTCGTTCGAAGAACTCTAGACCATCTTTCTCTTGTAGACGGGGAGATGAGTGTCACCTCGGGGCGAGTCGCTGGAATCAGAGAGAGACATTTTTTGGCTCGGGAGAATGAAGAAGTTGATCGGAGGAACAAAGTTTGACAGATCGGAGGAATCAACCTAGATCTAATGACGGTGGCGCTATGACGGAAGTATTAACGGAAAAAGTAGAAAATGTAAGAACTCAAGATCAGAGAGAAGAGAACGAACCTTGAAAATTTTCCTTTGCAATTGCGAAATGAAAAAATGAATCGGAGGCTTAACATTTATAGAGATTTGGGGCGCGTCGGGTACGAACGAGCCAAATAAAACACATCGTATCCGCGTCTGAGGCGCGTCGGGCACAAACGAAGTGAGTAGGATACTTCGCATCCGCACGAATCTCGGGAATCAGCGAAAGGACCTTTCCACTTCTCGAGAAGGAATCCCAACCGTCACATGCCAAGAGAAGATGAAACGACAGAGGAATTCGAATCGCCAAAAACTTTAAAGGGACCGAAATGTTCAAAGTAAACGGCTCGGCCTAATTGTCATAAAGCTCGTCACGCTTGGTTCTCCAAACTAACGAGCTGGGGGTCTAACTGTTGGGGTCGGATTCCACCCTTTGGCGCCGAGCCAGACTTAGAACACTTCGGGAGTCTTTCAGTGATCACCTCGGGGCATCGCATCATTCACCTCGGGATATCCATCTAATCGATTTAGTATACCCGAGCCCATCGCCTCGGGGATACTTTAACAAGACGTTTCAAGCATCCGAGCCCATCGCCTCGGGGATACCCTAAACAAGATGTCTCAAGCACCCGAGCCCAATTGCCTCGGGGGTACCCGAGCCTGGTCGCCTCGAGAGTTTCTGAGCCCATCGCCTCGGGGACACCCGAAGAAGCCATCCTAGAGTGCCCGAGCCAGTCCTTCCTGTGTACCAGAGCCGATTGCACAAGTTTCTCCGAGGTGAAGTCTTCATCATCGCCCGAGGTAAAGACTTAGTAAATATTCGCTTTCAAAGTACCATTTCCAAGCAGGGTACCATTTCCGAACAAGAAGGATCATTTCCGATATACCCGGAAATGATAAGAGAGAATTTAGAAGGATCGATTCAAATCAGGAAATCTCCCAAAGATTCCGAAAAATAAGGAAACTATCCTAATCCGCGATATTCTGAGCCGACTTCAAGATAAATGGAAATCTTCCGAGAATATCGCTGGAGAGGCGGTTTATCACCTATATATAAAGAGACTCAAGGCTCAAGCAAAGGACAAGGAATATCGCTCTAGAATTTACACTACGCAAAGCTCTCACAGCACAAACATCTTTTTCCTTTTACGATGAAACTCTTGTACGATCAAAGTCATCTTTTTCTTAATAATATCAAGAACACCATCTTTGGTTACAATCGTTTCTGTTGTTCTTTGAGAATTCACGATTATCGTATCCCTAAAATAAAACCCTAGACAAATCTTGATTGTGTTAGTTTCGACTTCCACACATATCTACTGAAAAATACCCGTTACAGAGACCGCTGGATTTACATTCGTACCTGAAGCCATCGAAGAACTGAAGACAATATTTACACTCGAAAATATCCCCCGGCATATCCTGAATCTGTAGATCAAGCTTGTGATTGTGCAGAATATTACGTTTTTTCCGAGGAAGAGTAGCACAAACTTTATGAAGGAAAAACTTGCATTGCACACATTTGAAGAATGTATCAGAATTGATGGGAAAAACACAAGCGTGGCACCTTTCATAATCGACAGCATTGTCATCACCAAGTCTTAGATTATGTTCATGACTGAAATGAATGATTTCTTTTTCATTAACTACCTTGTATGGATCTTCAATTTCTTCCTCTTCAGGCTCATCTTCTAGTTCTTCTCCCTCCCACACATCGTTCCTTGTTGCACACTTTGAATGAACAGCATAATTAGGACAACGCTTGCAAGAGAAAGCTCCATTGGTCCAGTCTATCTGTTTGCGACAAACTCCGCATTCCCAATCACCGTGACCGAGATGATACGTTCGAGAAATGCGGTGGTCATGACGATTGATGTTTATGACTCTGGGCAAATCGACACAATCTTTGTGTAGCATGAAATCACATTCAAGACAAACGTAAGGATTACGATCACCAACCATCCCACATGCGTTACAAGTGAAAGAGTCCTTTCTCGCCATGAGGGTGAATGTATGGTTGTGGCTCTTTGATTTAAAAATAGTAAGTGGTGGGGGATATATCCAACATCTTAAATCTATGCTGATATTACATAAGGAACAATGATACATCACATCATCAAGTGGGCTGCGACAAAAATGACATTTACCATCTGTATAGTCAATTGTCTCGGCCAAGACTTTCTTGAGAGGGTGTTTGGAGTGACACGGGTGGTTGATGATGTCTGGCTGGATGATGCATTCGAAATGTGCGTGGAATTTGCAGATTTTACAGTAAATGGCGGTGCCTTCCGTGTCACCGCATCCATCGCATGGAAGGTACTCATGGCGGTCTCCACCTCCAGTATGCATCAGCCACCAGGAAACTAACGGATGACTGCAGGATATCTTCACTCTAGGTCTACGAGATAGTTCTAACATAGTGGGTTTGGGATCGGTTTTATATTTGTTGGGTGGAAAAACTGAATACCAAAAAGCACAAGTTTGTATTTTTCTGACTTGGTAACTCGGACTCCTTTATGTATTTGAGTTATACACGAATCATGTAACGAGTGACCTGATACCAGGTCATATACATAATACTACTTTAGTATCAACCAATTTGTATTGATTGATACTCATTGACCTTACCGACACAACCAGCTCATCGTGACACATCTCAATACAGTTAACTGTTTAATAGACCATACTTTCAATTTTAATATGATCGCCGTTAGCTGCCCCTATATAAAACTATCAAATTTTAAAGAAGAAAGAATAACCAGATACAGCTACACTAATAAAAAACAGGTAATGTAAATTGTAGATCAATTTTTTATAGAAGAACATGACTTGAATGTTATTAGTTCGGATCATAGGATCATTGATGTACGAGTTAAGCTTGGATCACAACATTTTTTTGTTTCTTGTGTCTATGGTGATCCTGCTACTCATTTAAGACAAGGAGTATGGAATAGTTTAATTGATATTGGAGTTTCTAGAGATGATCCTTGGTTGGTGTTGGGAGATTTGAATGAAATTCTTAATAACACAGAAAAACTTGGTGGACCAGCACGGGCGGAATCATCATTCTTTCCTTTTCGGAATATGATAAATGATTGTCGTCTACGGGAGGTTCCAAGTATTGGTAATAAGTTCTCATGGGCTGGAGATCGCAATAATCAATGGGTACAATGTTGTTTGGATAGAGCACTTGGAAATGAAGCTTGGTTTCACCTTTTCCCACGGGTTCAAGCTGAATTCCTAGAGCGTATCGGGTCAGATCACCGTCCTTTATTTCTCCGATTTGTGAGTGAAAATATTTCTAGAACGGGCCGGTTTATGTTTGATAAAAGATGGACGTCTAAACCGGACCTCTTAAATATAATAAAAGAAGGATGGAATAAGGAAGGCAATGTAGGCCAGAACGATGTTTTGCATCGCATCTCCGAATGTAGGAAGCTCATCTCGAAATGGAAACGCAACTCTTCTCAAAACTCTAAGGACAAAATTAAACACCTCCGGAATCAGTTAGATAACGAAGGTATGAAGCTGCAACCCCATCACGGTTTAATGCGATCGCTTAAGTGGAGTTTAGCTGAGGCTTACAGGGAAGAAGAGTTGTATTGGAAACTTCGTAGTAAGGAAAAATGGCTGCGGGATGGTGACCGGAACACAAAATTTTTCCATGGAAGTGTTCAAAGAAGACGAGTACAGAACCGGATTCTCTCCTTATTTGATGACAATGATACGGAGCAGTTCACGGAGGGATCAAAAGGAGAGATAGCGGTTGAGTATTTTAGGAAAATGTTCGCAAGCTCTAACCCGGCTCTTATTTTGGAAGCCTTGGATGGCATGACACCAAGAGTTACGGAGAGTATGAACAGAGATTTAACCAAACCGGTGACAAGTGAAGAAATCAAGAAAGCAGTATTTAGTATTAGAGGTGACAGTACTCCTGGGGCGGATGGCATGTCAGCTCATTTTTATCAAACATATTGGGACATTGTTGGCCCGCAAGTGGTTGAAGAGGTGCAACAATTTTTTCAATCTGGTATACTTCCATCTGAATGGAACTTTACACAGATTTGTTTGATCCCAAAAAAGGTTAATCCTTCAAGAATGACTGATTTACGGCCTATAAGCTTATGTTCGGTGATTTATAAGATTGTATCGAAGGTTTTATGTGCGCGCCTTAAGGTTTTTCTACCTAGTTTAATCTCAGCAACTCAAGGCGCCTTTGTCTCTGGAAGACTCATCTCTGATAATATCCTACTAGCCCACGAAATGGTCCATGCGTTGAAAACAAATGCACATTGTGACGAGGATTTCATAGCCATCAAAACCGATATGTCAAAGGCTTATGATAGAGTAGAATGGAATTTCTTAGAAGAGTTGCTTCTCCGGCTTGGATTTAATATTACCTGGATACAATGGATAATGAGCTGCGTTAAATCGGTCTCCTATTCGGTACTCCTCAATGGCTCCTCTTATGGTTTTATTAAACCAGAAAGAGGTATCCGTCAGGGAGACCCGCTTTCACCATTTCTTTTCATTCTATGTGCTGAAGCGTTAGTACATATAATGAATAAGTCTGAACTTGAAGGCCGATTAACAGGAATGCGTCTAACACCAAGCTGCCCGTCGATACAACACCTTCTATTTGCGGATGACAGTTTGTTTCTTTGCCAAGCTACCTTCAAAGAATGCTCTGAATTTAAGCGTTGTCTCTTACTCTACGAAAAAGCATCAGGGCAAATGATCAATTTTAATAAATCTGCTATAACGTTTGGGAGGAAGCTTGACCCATATATGAAGCAGCTCATACGTGATTTTACCGGTATTGAGCAGGAAGGTGGTACTGGTAAATACTTAGGTCTCCCGGAATGCTTTAGTGGATCAAAGAGCGCACTCCTTGGGTATATTAGTGATCGCTTGAAATCAAGATTGAGCGGATGGTATGAGAAAACTCTTTCATTGGGAGGGAAGGAAGTTCTTATTAAATATGTGGCTTTAGCATTACCGGTCTATGCTATGTCTTGTTTTCGATTGACTAAGTATCAATGTCAGCAAATTACAAGTGCGATGTCAAGCTTTTGGTGGAATGCGAGTGAAGACAAACATAAGATGCATTGGGTTTCTTGGGAAAAAATCTGCAAGTCTAAGACAAATGGTGGCTTGGGGTTTAGAGATATAGGTCGTTTTAACCAAGCCCTCCTAGCGAAGCAAGCTTGGCGCCTCCTTGATGACCCGCAGTCACTGCTCTCTAGAGTATACAAGGCTAAATATTTCTCGAATAAGAGTTTCTTGGAAGCTAAGATTGGCTATAGACCCTCTTATGCATGGAGAAGTATTTTATTCGGCCGAGAACTTCTTGAAAGAGGTCTTATGAAGACCATTGGAGATGGCCAGAACACAAGCGTGTGGGTAGATAAATGGATCTTAGACACTTTTCCTAGAAGACCGATAAACAAAGATCTAATGATGGATTTGAATCTTAAGGTATCTTCCTTGATAACAACACAAGGTGAATGGAATGTTCTAAGGCTTGCGGAACTGTTTCCTCCCGATGATGTCACCCACATTAGATCATTCCCTCCAGAGGTTAGTGTACCGGATAGATGTGTATGGGCTTACACAAAGAATGGCAAGTATTCAGTCAAGAGTGGTAATTGGGTTCTAACAAGGGAAGCAAGTTTACTGGAGATTGTAACGGCGGACGCTCAAGCCATTAATAAGACCAAAGAAAGAGTCTGGAAGATTGCCACTGCTCCAAAAATTAGATTATTTCTCTGGAGAGCATTATCTGGTGCTTTGGCAATTGCAGATTGTTTGCGAACTCATGGCGTTGCTGTTAACCCGGGCTGCCAACTTTGTGGAAATGGGAATGAAACAATTTCTCATGTCTTGTTTGATTGCACCTTGGCTCAAAATGTCTGGCTCATCACAGGCCTTCCTAGGTGGTCACAGGGCTCGACGTTTTCCATTCATGAACAGGTTGAGTATATTTTAAATCTAATGGAAAAACAAGATATCGATAGAGAGTTGAGAGAGGCTATTCCCTGGTTGGTTTGGGAGATTTGGAAGGCGAGAAACTCCACCTTATATGCGGAAAAGACAAATTCTCCACATTTTGTAGTAGCCAAGGCTTTGGAGGAAGCAAAGGAATGGTTGCAGCAACAAGCTCTCTCTCAACAGGAACACTCTCAAAGTTTGCAGCGACAAGTTATTGGTGAAAGATTCTGGACTAAGCCGGCGACAGGTAAGCTTAAATGTAATCTACATTCCTCATGGCTCACGGATTCATTCCACATAGGAGGAGCTTGGATCCTACGAAATCATGAGGGTGATGCAGTCTTTCACGCTCGGGATGCTTTTCTCCCAATGGTGAATCGATTAGCTGCGGAACTTCAAATTATACTTTGGTGTCTTCGGAGTTTAAAGGAGCTGCGGATTGTTTCTTGTGAAGTATGGTCAGACAGTCGTGCGGCCATTGATGCGTTAACTTCTCCGGAAGCGTATCCTAAATATCGTTCTCAAATCATCAAAATTCAACAAGTAATACGGGTGATGGGGGAGGTTAGTTTTCACCTCTCTTCACCGAAAGCCAACTCTTTGGCCAAGGATATTGCTTGTAGTGTTACTCGAGAAGGACGATTCACATCGTATTTAGCACGCGGCGGTCCGGCTTGGTTACATAATCGGATTGAAAGTGAACGGCGAGGTCGAAGATGAGTCTAGTTTATTACGTCTTCCCCTGTTTTTGTTGCTTTCCCCTGTTTCATTTTACTCTGCTTTTGTAAACTCTGGTTTTGCATTTTATTAAAGACGACAAAAAAAAAAAAAAAACATGACTTGAATCTTTCCATTACGATTTTATTTATAATTGGTTATACAAAAAACTCATCTATTTCACAAAAAAAAAACGGTGATTCCTTTTTTTTTCTTAATTTTGTAAGAGTTATTTTCTAACTTAATTGTACGGTTGACAACCAGGGAAATCAAGTAGTATCCAAATGGCATCTTTTTACACATGTTCATCCCGCAAATTTTGGTGGAGTTTGCTCATGATTCGAGTTTCCTTTCATAGATAGCAAATTAAGTTCATGAGTGTTGCGGTTTGCCTTCTTCAATAAGAAGATGGATCATAGCTTCGACAACTTTGTTGTGGACAATACCTGATTTCTGAAAACAGTCAAACACACAAACGTGAAGAGAGATTAGGCATGAGCTACTTCACCATGTGGATCCAACAAAGGAATAAACATGCAACCTCGGGTTTTCGGATGAGATCCTTGAAAACGGAATGCAGGGTTAACCGGAGCTCTTTTAGCAGAACCGCGGTTTGAGCTGGTGCTGTTAACTTTAACCACCCACCAATGGTGACTGATCCACTCAGTGCCGTGCCTTATGCCTAGTAAAACAGGCAATTGCTAAGGCCACATCAAAAAACAAATATTTGAAGGCCAGATTTTGTTCAAAATTGTGCCTATGTATTTAGATTGATATGATATATGTAGGTTATACCCTTTAATATATGCATGACAAGTAGGGGTGTCAAAATGATTTAAAACTGATGGATCAATCCAAACCAATCCAACTCATGGATCTAATGAGTTGGAAATTTGGATATTAATGGATTAATGGA